AACGAACAAGCGAACACGCGTAAACAGACAGACAAGCAAACGCAAGCACAGGAACACCATAAGTCGTCACAATATGTGTTTTTGCATCTGCAAACTTGTACCACGACCCTCGCAACTCGAACCCAAACCTCCCAAAAATGAGTATATATTGTACGTGTTTTGAGCTAAGTGTTTTGGGAATTTTTTAAGATGCAAACTATGAAAGTTTGTTTGGCACTATAGGTCCGCCGATGAGAGGAACACAGTCGAACAGTTGTGGGAAAGCAGGAAGTGCCAATTTAGATATCCAGATAAGCGAGCCAAGCTAGGCTTTACTGGTCAGAGTCTACTAGTGAGATAATTTTTCGCACAACTCTGCATGAAGTCGGGCGGCTTTGAATCCGAGGAGTTTTTTGCATCTTGATGAGCTCGAGTGGCATCAGCTGCAATCATGGGAGCGAAGGTCGGAGAGTGGAACTTGTTTTTTTTTTCAAGTCAGCCTCCCTCCTTCCAGTACCGCTGGAATCACGCAGCTGCGGCGTTTCCCTGGGGGCACGTGAGTGACAGCACGCAACATTGAGGGCGAAGCGCTGGGCCGGGGGGAGGGGGGAGTGGAGAGAAGGGGGAAGAGGGGTGGGTGGGTGCACTGGAGGGGACGGGGAGGGAGAGAGGAGGGAAAGGGAGGGAATGGGCAGCGGTCTGGCAGGAATACATAGCTTTTTTCACAGGATTGATTGCAAAAAACGCGTTTTTCAAGGTTTTGGTTAAGATTCAGTGAAACTTGTCTGCCTGCTTTCCCCCCACCTTTCCCTCAGTATTTCTTTCGCTAAGCCACTCAGCCAGTTTCAGGCAAATTTCTTGAAGACCAATGGAAACTACGGCATTTTTCCCCGGCCCCCTTCCATAAATACCTGTGCTTCGTCCCCCTAAACACCTGTTTGGTTTAGTGAGCATTAATCGATCCGATTTTGCTGGTCTTATCGAAAAACACATCACATCGGATAGGATAATCCACGTACTCCGTTGTAGCGCCTTCTTGCACTTTACAGGGCGTCTCAACGAGATATGGCAACTACTAAAGCTCGGCTCGGCTTCGGTGCGCCATATGCAGGTTCAAGTTGCGGTGCGTCAAACCCAACCCCCGGGTAAGCGTGGTTCCCGCGTACAAGCCCGCCAAAGTTATTCCCGGGTAGGGTCATAACTTGGGAATCTGAGATGCTAGAAGGCTGAAATCTTAGGGGGACGTCCCGCGTCCAAGCAGGTGCTAATGAGCTCTAACCCAACCGAATCCCCAGCTCCGGAGAAGCTCTCAGGTTCAGGTTCGAGTTGCGAAAATCGTGGTGCCGGGTTTTTTGCCCGACTAGCTGAAGTCCTGTCCGGGGCTGCTGGTAACTTTTGCTCTGCACGATTTCTTATGTTGGTTCAAGTACAATTTTATGCACCACTAATTTATGTTTTTTATAGGTTCCTTATTCCGGCTTAACCTAATACAAAATTGCCACATATTCCGCAACTAAAGATTATGCCTCAGCACAAATATCACTGATTTTCGAGTTTTCCATGAAGTTATGCTAAAAAAAAGTTGCCAGTCTTGAGCCTACATGGGTTTCCTTTCCCTATAAGCTCTGACTCTGTTTCCAATTCCTACCTCCAAGCAAGGTTTCAGCTTCTTCCCAACCAATAATCCCCGACCCTTGCCCTTCGTTTGGACCCCCCTCCCCCTTTCCCCTTGGGAACTTAAACCATCATCCCTCCCTCTCACCTCGTACCCTCGCTTTCGTCTTATAATCCCTCCATCCCGCAGTCAGTGCAACCTGCTTCTTTTGCCCCAGCGTAGCCCTCGCTCTTCTGGCCGCCCCCGAGTTAGCCATCTTCGCGCCAAAAACTTTCACGAGGCCGTACTTGAGAACCACTCAGGCCCGGAAGCTGAAAACAGTGTGTTTAGTAGATGCCCGAACGTTGCGAGCCAAGTTTTAGTGGTTGCCCGAGATTCCCATCGGTAATTGGTCCCCTTTTTCAGGTCGGCGATGTTCGAGAGCTGCTTTCCACCGTTGCGGATGTGTCTGGAGTGTGTACAAGGGCCAAGTTTCACGGCAACGCAAAGTTATGCGCAATTCCAGAACGAAGCTCACGCTGTGCGACTGGACAACACTTTCATGGGTATCATCCCCTGTTTCTAGTACTAATGTGGTACACCCTTATACCTAAGCATAGTATTCGCTGTAAATATCTGCCCCGAGGCTGGGATAACTTAACTGCCGGGATTACTGTAGATCGAGGAAATTGGGAATAATTACCCGTCAAATTTCAAATTTCGAGGTCAAACAAGCAGAAAAATGCAGCATCCTCATACCTAAGCGTAGTATTTACCGCAAATATTTGTCCCGGGGCTGAGATAACTGTAGATTTGCCGGGATCACCGTAGATCAGGGAACTTGGGAAAAGTTACCCCTCAAATTTCGAGGTCAAAGAAGCAGAAAAATGCAGCATCCTCATGCCTAAGCATAGTATTCGCTGTAAATATCTGCCCCGGGGCTGGGATAACTCAGAGATAACTCAGTTGCTGGGATCGCTATAGATCAGGGAAGTTGGGAAAAGTTACCCCTCAAATTTCGAGGGTAAGCAAACAGATAATATTAGCTGTAACAATAATTACACAGGCTGAATTCTTTTTACCCACCGGGATCGTAGGTCGAGGCAGTTGGGAATAGTTACCCCTCAAATTCCTAGGGTGAGCAGACAGAAAATTTGAGTTTTAGTAATAATAGGTTATCGGCTCGCGATGTATGATGCATTCACTTTGCGCGACCGATAAATAAAGAAGCATTTTTTGTGGAGTGGATATCTGAAACACCAAAAATATCAAGATTTCGGACCGTTTGTGTGGGATTTCGTGTTGCTGATGTACCCGACCGATAAATGGAGCAGCTTTTTCCGCCCCTTCCCGCCCCTAATCACATCTCGTGCTGTCTGTGTTTAC